GTTCTGGTTATCAGATTTCAACACTAAAACATAAGGCTGGAGGATTCAAGTTCAGTTTTTGTCATGTTTGTTATGACAGTAATGAAAAAATCAAGAGATTTAACCAATATGCTGATATGCGGTAAACTTGCAACTCCACCTATTCTTCACTTTCATGAAAAATGTCTCAGCAATGTGAGTAACATCAGTATTTTTACATGTTGTTTTCCCACCTATGCAGTTGAAGCAGGGAAAGTAAATCCATAAATCCCAAAGTACAGGGTCTTTAGGTTATCTCAATGTTATAGGGAAAAAAAGAATGGCCCTGCTGTTACAGAGGATCTAAACAGAATTTTACAGTTATGAACATAAACATAATTTAAAGAGCTAATACAGAACATTTACAGTTAAGGTCACGTATGGGCAATAATATTTCTATTACACAAACTATTTATTGAACATAGAATTATCTGTGTAGTAGGAAGGAGGGACTGAAAATAGAAGGAAGGTCCTTTAACCATATAGATAGAGTAGATGCAAAACAAATAGCCATGGAAGACACTTTTGCTAAAATATTTGCAATGACTGACTGTAAAGTGGTCTCAGAAAGTTACACAACCTCCTATAGAAACAAGATAAAAGATGTAATTTGGAAATGTTTTCTTATTCTATAAAAGAATAAACAGAATTTTTTCTCAGGATAGAAACTGTGTCATAAAGACTAACAAAGTGATTAGGTAATTCTCATTCAGTTTAATACCACTGAAACCATGAGAAATCATCTAATACCATCAGACTGTTCAGGTGTGACATGCTTGACACAAAGCTATCTGTCAGCAAAAAGAAACTAGAGACTAAGGCAACACTTCTATTACAAACCAGAACTGTGCTCCTTTTCCTTGCCAATATGCTGGTTAACAACAGATGTGTAACATTCAAGGCATGAGGTGGGAGGCAGTAAATCAACAGAAAAGAATGCTAATCACATCTTTCTGTTTTGTTGTTATAGACATCCATGCATTATCTAGAATTTATATAAAAGCCAGCTGTACAATCATAATGAGCAAAAAACCCCTGCATATATTTTTATGAAACTTAATAAAATAACATGCCTTATAGTAGATTTTTCGTTTTTTTAAAAAAAAGCTCTGATGCACTGTCTCCAATTTTAAAGCATATAGATTCTACACAAAACAGAGCTACATTGGCTTGATGGAGAATTTAAATCCTACACCAGTAATGTTCTTGAGCAGAGGTAGAGGAGCCAAGATTTAAAAGACAGATAGATAGATAGATAGGAAGATTTAAAGGATATATGCTAACAGGTTGATTCAAAGGTAGTAACAGTGGTATCTGCAGCAGTGCTGTTTCAAAGGTTAGCATTTACTTACAACCAATAAACCAGATACAACTAAGATACAGTCTTGAATGTTTTATAATCTCTATTTAAGATTTGTTGGAATCTTTTTCATTAAGATTCATATCAAGATTTCCTTTTTGTTTTGTTGAACTGACCCAATACACTACATTTTAAAGGTCTGAACAAAGCAGTGAGTTTTCTTTCCCTGGCAATGGAACTGCAGAAAAGAAACCCATATTCACCTGCAGTTCAGAGTTCTTGATGATTACTGAATTAAAAGGGTAACATGGATTTCCCTCTGATCATATCAACTAATCTGGGTAGTATTATATAAAGAATAAAGGAATTATTGAAGCAGGATTCATCTTCACATGCCTACAACATGAATGCCCATAGCTGATCTAGTCATCAGTTTTCAAAGATAGCACAAAACCAGCTTGCTTCAAGACGCACATGCAGAAGTACACTTTTGAACTGTTGCAGTTTTTTTCTTTTAAGCAGTTCAACAAATTAACCTGAAACATTACCTTTTCATGAATCTCTACCATCTTCTGTTGTTACTGTAAAGATCTAAATGAAAGTATTTCAGTTGTGGTCAATGGGACAGTCCAGTTGGAGGCCTGTATCTAGTGGGGTCCCCCAGGGGTCAGTACTGGGACCAGTACTATTCAATATATTCATCAGCGACCTGGACGAGGGAACTGAGTGCACTGTCAGCAAGTTTGCTGACAACACAAAACTGTGAGGAGTGGCTGACACTCCAGAAGGCTGTGCTGCCATTCAGCGAGACTTGGACAGGCTGGAGAGTCAGGTGGGGAGAAATATTATGAAATTCAACAAGGACAAGGTCTGGTATCTGGGGAAGAACAACCCTATGTACCAGTATAGGTTGGGGACTGACCTGCTGGGGAGTAGCACAGCAGAAAGGGACCTGGAGGTCTTGGTGGACAGCAGGATCACTATGAGTCAGCAGTGTGCCCCCATGGTCTAGAAGGCCAATGGCACCTTGGGGTGTATCAGAAGGGGCATCATTAGTAGATCGAGAGGTTCTACTCCCCCTCTACTCTGCCCTGGTGAGACTGCATCTGGAATATTGTGTTCAGCTCTGGGCCCCTCAGTTCAAAAAGGACAGGGAACTGCTTGAAAGAGTCCAGCGCAGGGCCACAAAAATGACTGAGGGAGTGGAGTATCTCCCTTATGAGTGGTTGAGGGAGCTGGGTCTCTTTAGCTTGGAGAGAGGAGACTGCGGGGTGGCTTCATTAATGTTTATAAATTTGTAAAGGGCGAGTGTCAGGAGGACGGAGACAGGCTCTTCTCAGTGATACCCAATGACAGGACAAGGGGAAATGGGAGCAAGCTGGAGCATAGGAGGTTCAATCTGAACATGAGGAAAAACTTTTTCACTGTGAGGGTGACAGAGCACTGGACCAGGCTGCCCAGAGAGGTTGTGGAGTCTCCTTCTCTGGAGACATTCAAAACCCACCTGGACGCATTCCTGTGTGACCTAGTCTAGGTGATCCTGCTCTGGCAGGGAGGTTGGATTGGATGATCTTTCGAGGTCCCTTCCAACTCTTAACATTCTGTGATTCTGTGATTCTCATTTTGTGAAGAAAAAAAAATAAATTATCCAGTCTGGCCTGAAATCAACAGTACACCCACCAGAATTTCCCATAACAGTACTAGAACAGTTGCACTAGACATCATTTTCCTCTGGAAAAGGACCTTTCAGAGTCGTAAGAGATATTCCCAGCTCTACTGAAGAAATACACAATTAATATGACCCTTGAGATTCTTATTCATTGCAAAAAATTTTGTTTCATGGGTAAACAGAACAGGTCTCCAAAGTGCACATCCATACAGGGAACTCTTATTTTATATTACAATTTTATTCACTTTTTATGAATATTCACAACATTAATCTACTGCAGATAATCTATTCAGTATATCTGAAAATCCATTTATTTTCACTTATTGATATGCATGTGTTACACTTGTATATAATACAGTATTTTCTGTGTTGGTTTAAGAACAAAGAAACAAATAAAACAAATATTGAGAAGCATGATGTAGATTTTTGACCAAAGAAAGGCCATATTCAGATTTTACAAAACAGCACATTTACACTTTCCACTTTCCCAGACAATCTCCTTAAGATGCCACCTTCTGTCCTGCACCTGTTAGCACAAATCCATACAATATTAATCCATCCTAAAATACTGAGATACCTAGATGCTGCTACAAAGAGTTTATCCTAATTAAATTTTAATCAGAAAAGAATATATTTCCCAGCCAACATTTTTTATTATTTCTTAGCAGAATGATAGAATATACTTCTCGATTTTATTCCCAACAGTCATTTATTTTATTTAAGCTCTCCTGTGCAATAATATAGCAGAGGTAATGAAATGGTTTTGAAACAGCGGGGGCTATCGTGACAGGCAGAGCACTCCAGGGTGTTCATCCATCATGGAATTTATACAACTACCTAGTCATGTCAATGGCTTGTAATGATAAAATAATTTCCCTCTTTTTCTGGGAATTTGGTAACCACACAGGACTTTTAAATAAGTTTGCCCCTATACATGTTTGACTACTATTAAGTGTGTGTGGTCTTCATTTCAATGTACCAAAGCATACAGTCAGAACTCCCTCACCCTCTCCACTCAGCATGCTTATGCAGTGTCACTAAAAGGAATTGCCAAATTTCTGTTGTATCAGTATTACAGATGGCACAATGTACATTAAACGGAGTATAAAATTATACATTCTGTAATAACTTAGAAAAAAGCTCATAAATACTTAAGGCTTTTAAATATTGAGGATTTTTTTTCATGAAACAGCACATCACAAAGTTCGAAAATTGCTACTGAAACAAACAAAAAAGTAAATGTGATTTTAGCAAGGATCATTTCTGAATTGGATGACTGTAAGCAAGCAAGATACCCACGAACTGTAAATCTGGGAGGGTGCTAGGACCTTTACAGCAAAGAGCCTGAGCAGACATCTACATAAGCATCCAACAGTACTTAGTTTCAAGCAAGAGGTTTTATTTTTTAATAAAAAGACAAAAATTCTGAATTATTACCATCCAATTTCATAATTGCAAAACTCATTTACATCCCTGCCTACCTTTATAAAAAGGGATGAAATACTGTCATTGACTGCTTAGCGTGAATTTCAATGAATTAAAGGTTGGGAAATTAAAGTACATATCAGGAACACCCATCTTCTTTCAAACTAAATGGAAATGTATATCTTAAAGGTATAAAATGCCTTATAATGGAAGTGGTAATTGAGTTTTGACCACTACTTTTTTAACTGCCAAAGAGCTGCAGTGGTTGGTTAGCCTTAGGGAAACATGTCAACCTGACTATACATTCTAATATGACTGATGTATTCAGATAACTATTACTTGTCAACAATAATTATTAACAATGGATATATATTTCCATTCCTATAAGAAAAGCAACTTCAAGATGTTGAAATATGTACCTTTGAGAGCTCCAAGATTAGAATACAAATAAAAATGTCTAAAACTGCGCCATGCCAGAGGACAAATTCTGCAACAGAAATTTAATTAAAGCAGTGTGCAGTCCCACCAGCAATCTGAATGGTGGAGCAGGGATCATTTTAGAGAGAAGGAATCAATACTTTTTGGAGGTTGACTTCATCAGGATGAAAAGCCACCAGTCTGGAATGGAGAATCCGAAAGATTGCTGCTTTTCTGCACCTTTTGAATATCAACTCTTGTGATTACAGCTGCAAATTCCTCAGCAAGTGCAATTTTACAAGTGTACACAGTTCAATCAGTTGAAATCTTTGTGACACAGAAGTTCAAAATAACTTTCCAGTAGTTTTGATCTCAAGGCTGTTGCTGATTACAAGCCAGGTTCTCTTTGAAACAATTGATTCTGAAGGATACACCCCAGCAATATAAAATTTCACTTCAAGGATTGCCTGGAGGAATGAAATTCCTATGTGTTGTATTTAATGTTATCAGCCTTGAGACTGACTTGATTTGTCTTTAGCTATCGGGTTACCTGTAAAGAAAAAGAAAATCAGAAAATCAAAACTGTATATAGAGAATCTACTTCCGAAGTACTGGAAACTGAGTCTGAAATATAAGATCTCTGTTCAGCAAAGCTCTTTCAGTTGTTTTAAAATAAATTAGTAATTCCCAGTGGTAATAGATGGGATTTCTCCCCAGCTTAAATTGTGTGTTTAAGTGCTTTGTTGGAATGGGACCTGACAAAGTGAAATTGAAATGTGACCATGCTTAAAAATAGAATTAAAAAAAACCTGAAGGTCACAAATTACCAACCCACAAATGTCAAAAGCATTGGTTTCAAGGAAATTTTCCTTTACAATGTCAAAACTATGCTTTTAAAATATTAGCCATTGAGTATAACAGTGACTGATACTAGAGATGTATTATTCTGCTCTTTGCATGCTACTATAAAATGGAATGTTCTGTTAACAGCTAAATACACCTTAGCAAGCAATAATCACTTTTGTGGAGAAACAGGACAAAAATCATGCATACATAAACAAGAGACAGATATATCCTGTTATTCGCAAGGTATAAAATAACTACCAAGGAGTTCAATTAGAGTGGTTTCACCCAGCCTAATATGAAACAAGAGTGAAACAGAAGAACCACAGAGAAACTGTGGGAGACAAAGCATTTCACATTAATTAGATTTTCCCTGCGTCTGATCTTATTTTAAACATTAATATAAAAAAAATCATCATATCAAAGAAACATAACTTTGAGGAATATTTCTGCTGTGTCAGTGGATACAATTAATGATCATGTAACATTTTAATATCAAATTGTGTAAAAGGAACAACATCCCAACTCTTGAGGAACAAGCCATTGGAACGGTCACAGTAACACTTTATGACATTGAGGGGCATATGCTTTTCATCTGATCACAGAGAGAAGGGTCATGCTCCTTAATGATGAAACATTTTTTTGCCCTCAGCAAAACTGTTTGCATACAGCTCTCATCGGCTCTGCAGACCACAAACATAGAGCAGAATATTAAAAGGACTGTTCAAGGAGTTCATTACTTCAGTTTGCCTTCTCCACCAAGTTGTTTCTAGGAACTGCACTTTAGAAAGCAATAACAAAATTGTGCTTTGTGATTTTTATGATACATCGGTTTATTTATTACACTTCTCTTATTTCGTTTTGTTCTTGTTGTCAGAAACAGACTCATGTGGCCCCTTCTATAGTGGAAGATTGCCTGAAAAAATAATGAAGAATTAATTTAAAACTCAGGCAACCTACTTCTATGCCCTGCACCAAAGCTCAAAAGGCTGACACAGCAGCTTATTGTTATTTATTTTTTACTTTATTGTAAAAAGTTGGAATTCTCCTCATGGACCCAGGTGCCACTGAGCTACATAATGTAAAATACACATCTTCTGATCCTATCGGCAGGTGGATTTTTATTAGCTTCACTTGATATATATACATTCTAAAACTGTGGTAAATCGACTGGTACAAAGCACACTGAAGATGGATCAAAGGATGTGAGACTCCGAAAGAGTCAATGTAGATGCAGGGTCAAAGCTTCCTACTTTTCCAAACAATAGAATAGACCAAAACGAAAGCAGCACCACAGGATGGTTTCCTGAGAGGCACAACTGGACAGGCAGTGACTAGAATTTAGCTGAATTCTCTATTCTGCCTATACACTCACAGAGCACATCTTTGCTATTAAAAAGAGAGGGTGCCAGTTCACTTTTTAGAGACCAAGTTGACTGTGACTCAGCAATGTGCCCTTGCTGCCAAGAAGGCTAATGGTATCCTGGGCTGCATTAGACAAAGTATTGTCAGCAGGTGAAGGGAGGTGATCCTTCACCTCTGCTCAGCATTGGTGAGGCACACCTGCAGTAGCGTGTCCAGTTTTGGGCTCCTCATTACAAGACAGACATATTCTGTCAAATATTCTGTCACATTTTCTGTCAGTTGAGACTGTTTAGCCTGAAGAAGAGGAGGCTCGGGGGGGGGATCTCACCAGTGTGTACAAATACTTAAAGGGAAGGTGCAAAGAACATGGAGTTAGGATCTTTTCAAGTGGTGGCCAGTGACAGGACAAGAGGTAATAGGCACAAACTGAAACAGAGGAGGTTCCCTCTTGGGAAACACTTTTTTACTGTGATGGTAACTGAGCACTGGTAGAGGTAGCCCAGGGAGGTTGTGGAGTCTCCATCATTGAAGATATTCAAAAGCTGTCTGGTCCTGGGCAACCTGCTCTAGGTGGCTCTGCTTGAGCAGGGAGGTTGGACAAGATGACCTCCAAAGGTTCCTTCCAACCTCAACCATTCTGTGATTTATTATTTCTACTATATCCAGCTCTGCCAATACATAGGCTAAGGCAATAAACTGCAGTTAGCAAAAAGAGTATTTTCACACATACATGACTGCTCAGCTACATGGCTGTTTGTAATTGCAAATGTGTTCTCTTCAGCCACAAAGAAACTCAGTAAAATCATAATCTGCAGGTCTACCTGCTTCCCGTGTGTCTAGCTCCACAATTTTGTGGTGAAAAAATCTATATAAAAGCAAAATACAAAGTTACATAGAATAAATAGGTGATATAAAGAAAAAAATTAGCCATTCAAATCTCTGCTCTATAACAGGTGTCTGATCATATAAAAGGGTAATTTTTTAATACATACTGCACAAGAAGTCAAGCTGCATATTCCTAGTTTTTATAATTACATGATTGGAGTTTTTAAGTGTTTTCCCTTGCCAGAATTTTTATTATTCCACATGCCCTATTTGTTTTCCTTTTCTTTTTTTCTCTGAACTTCCATGTCACACACTGCTACTCTGAGTAATACACTTCATGGCCCATATTTGCCTCTGAGTAAGAAGGTAATAGTTGTTATGTGCAAGCACACCTCAGCCATTAACATTAGTGGAAATTACATATTCATA